ATCGCATTGCCTGACACGATGGACGTCCATCCTGATTGTATGGAATTCTTCTCGTTTAGCCTCACCGCGTGGAGAGAGTACTTCAGGCTGGCTGACCCTGGGATTCGCACAGCTGAGTTTGAGGTAGTGGTGCAGCGGGAGCTGCGTCAGCTTTGGGCGCTGGGTGTGCTGCTCCGGCGTCACTAGGTGTGCTATGAGCAGGCGCTGAAGGCCGCTCTGTTGCTGCAGCCTGTTGCAGCAAAACGAAGTAGCTTCTGCTTTCCATCAACGAAAGACGCTTCCGCGCTTCTCTGTAGCTGATGTTTTCCTTAAATTTGCGAGTAACAATGCTTTTTCTTGTTTCTATATTAAGCAAGCACGCGAGTACGCAGGATGACTACCCTCGCAGTTCACACAGTGGTGTAGTTCAATTTTGCAATTTTTGGTAGTGTGTTCGTGAGAGGCACACTTAGCACATGCGTTTTGGCCTCTGCAGTTCAGTGAGCCGTGGTCGTATCGTTGCAATTTAAAGCAGCGTCGTGGGTTTGGTACGTATAGGCGTAGTTTGAGTTTGGTGCATCCATCCACCACAGTTTCTGGGAGTATGCTCGGTGCGAAAGTGAGAACGAAGTGCTTTGTTTGTATTTCCTTTTTTTCTTGTTTGATTTTTATTCTATACACATTTGTGGTGTTTTGGTCATTCAGCCCATTCAGGAGTTCTTCTTCACTTACATTTTGAGATCTTCGTGAAAATTGACGCCTCAAACGGTGTTTAGTGATCCGGGAGGTGTAAAGGACACTGTAATGTCTTCAAAGCCAGTGATTTTTGAAAGGTTCTCGTACTGGTGCTTGTACAGTACTTCCATAAGATGTCATAATTGGCTAGTTTCTTAATTTTACATCCTTGCCCTAAGGTGTTGGTTAGGTTTCTGGATACTTTGAAGGGGGAAACATGTCTCGCTGTTCTTTCTGCGTGTTCACTGTGAATCACATGGAATCTTTGGAATGTGCACATGTTGTTAGTGAAAAATTTTGATGTTACATCGGTGCGCGTCCTCTTTTGAGGGTGGCGATCAGGTGAAAAGACTGGAGAGTCTATCTAGTTTGTGTGTGCTTGAGCCGCAGTAGCAGCCACCCACCATGAAGCCCAACGAGAGGCCGAGACAGGGTATCTCGTGCGATACCTGCCCACGCCAGCTGTATACCATGACTATAACCGAATATGGCTCAACTCAGGGTGGTTAGCCACACAAGGTTAATCCTTGCCACCAGAGAACAACGAAGTAAACAGGAGTGAGGAGCAGACCAGACAGACAAAAAGTGGGGGGAAAGACAAAGATGTAGGAGGATGAAGATAGGAAAAGGCGACTGCCGATTTCCAGTGGGTGGGTCCGCCGCAGGGATGCCGTCTACGTGAAGCTGGGGCCAAAGGGGGGTGTTGCCTCAGCCGGGACTCCTTAAAGGTCCAAGTACCCAGCGTCAGCTCAACCCCCAGGATCCCCTTTTCTCCAGACGCAGCCCAGCCACGCACGGCTAGGAACGGGAGAGGTCGAAGCTTCTCGTTGTGTCGGGTCTGTGGTGTCACTACGCACTAAACGCCTGCTTGCGCAGACGCCCCTGTGGGGAACACGCACGAACTGAGTAAGGCTGCCTCAACGAAGAACGGCTGTGGAACAGGGCAGAATAACACCGATCATTGATTGGGAAATGAGAGGGGTGTTCTTTGTCTGCATTCATCTTGAGGTAGTACACAATATATGCGTAACATCTTTGTAAGTGGAGTGACCACTCATTGGATTACACATACAGGCTTTCCACAGAGTTGGTGCAGAAAGCACCCGTAGAAAGGCGAGTGCCCAAATGGTGCACGAGGACCAGAATCTTCAAAGCACTTCGAGTCGCACACTGATAAACAACAGCCCCATAGTCTGAGTGGGTGCGAACGAGGCTTCTATACAAATTCATGAGACATTGCCTGTCAATACCCCACGTAGAATGTGACACTTTTAGAACATTCATAGCTCTTACATTTTGTTTTTAAATACTTCATGTGCGGTATGAAGATCAAGTTGTTGTCCTAGATTTGGCCAAAGAATTTATGCTTGGCATTGACAGACAGACGTTGACCATTCAGTTGAATGTCAGGTTCTGAGTGCATGCCTCTCTTTCGGGAGAAGAAGACACACCGACTTTTTTGTGAATTCAGTCGGAATCCGTTTTCCTCTGCCAATTTGGAGACCTTGTTTAAACCTAACTGAATCTGCCGCTCACACATTACCAGGTTGCATGACTTAAAGCCAAGCTAGACGTTATCGACATAAGTACAATAGAAGATATTGCGGGAGATGGACAGGTGCGAAGAATTCATTTTGATAATAAGAAGTGTACAACTAAGTAAATCACCTTGCGGTACTCCCATTTCTTGGACAATGTTTGGGAGAGATTACTGCCGACGCGGACACAGAATGTCCGATTGGATCAGTAACTCTCGATTATGGAAAGCATTCTACCGCGCAAACCCAGGTGAGGCAAGTCTCTTAATATGCCAAAACGCCATGTTGTTCCGTAAGCCTTCTCGATATCGAGGAACACACAGAGGAAGTATTGTTTGTGGATGAAAGCGTCTCGGATCTTTGCCTTGATACGCACCAGATTGTCGGTGGTAGATCTACCCCCTCGAAACATACCCTGGAATCGGTTGAGCAAATTGTGTGTTTCAAAAACTTTAAAAGTCGGTGGTTTATCATCTTTTCATAAAGTTTACAAAGGCAGCTTGTAAGTGCATTGGGCCTATAGCTCGAAACTGAGGAAGGGTCCTTGTCCTCTTTTAAATCGGGAATAAAGATAGCCTCTTTCCAGGAAGTTGGGATGGTGCCAGAAAGCCAGATACCATCGTATAGGGAGAGTAAAGTTTTTCGCGTTTTCAGCGGAAGGCTTTTCAACATTTCATACATGACACAGACGTAGCTTAGAGCAGAATTACTGCAGGAGCTTGGTGATGTTTGTAGCTCAGCTAACTTGAAAGGTTGGTTGCATGCCTCGTATTTCGTACACTTGTGTTCTAGTTCCTGCTTTACAATCCTTGCCTTATATCTTTGGAAAGCTTCAGTATAGAGTGACGAGCGAGACACCTGCTCGTAGTGTGCACCGAGGAAGTTCGCCTGATCGTCCAGGCTGTCACCATGTGTGTTTACGAGTGAGAGTGAGTGTACTTGTCTTCCTGCTATCCTACCAACCATGTTCCAGACTTTAGCCTCTTGTGTATATGAATTGATCCTTAATAAAACCTTGTGCCAGCTTTCTCTTCTGGCCTGCTGACGCGTTCTCTTGCCCAGAGACTTTATTTTCTTAAAAGTGTCAAGATTTTCGGCAGTCGGTGAGTTCCGAAGCAACCTCCATGCCTTGTTGTGCTCCTTTCGCGCATTGCGACACTTAGTGTTTCACCATGGGACGCGTCACTTTCCGGGCAGTCCAGATGTTTGCGGAATGCACTTGGCTGCTGCGTCAATAGGGAAAGCTGTGAAGTACTGCACAGCTTCATCTATGCTTAACCCACCTATGTCAGTCCAACCTAAATCAGTAATGTTATGAAACCGTTCCCAGTCGGCTTTGTATGTCAATGATTTGGGAACTCGTGAAGTACATTCGTATGATGTTGGTGAACTAAAACCAATAAGAAAATGGTCACTTCCGTGGGAATTATTTATAATTTTCCATTGTAGTAATTGTACAAGTGAAGGAGATGCGATACTGAGGTCTATAGAGGAGTAAGCCTTGTTGGAAAAGTTATAATATGTTGCCTCTTTTCTATTCAACAGACAAGCACCTGATGAAAAGAGTAACTGTTCAATGAGACGACCTTGTGCATCACATCGACAGTCACCCCATAAACTGCTGTGCGCATTTAGGTCCCCTAGAACTAGATAAAGTTCTCGTAACACATCTATAAAAGACTGGAATTGATGTTTTTCCAGGCGGCGTTGGGCCGGTATGCATAAAGATCAGATGGTTATTTTATTATTTCTTTATGCCATACCCACAGCGCCACACGAGCTTATTCAATAGAACTGCTCGAACAGCCACTGCCTCTAGAAATGCTAGTAGCGGTACATGAGTACATGCTACCCCTCGATTAACAATAATAGCTACACCGCCATATGATGCTATTGCATCATCTCTGTCCTTTCCGAAGACAACATATTGACGCAAAAATTGTATTCTTGGATTTCAGGTGTGTTTCCTGTACACACAGCACATTTGGTGAGTGTTTGTGCAGAAGTTTTTGGACATCGTCGAGGTTTTGAAGTAGTCCTCTGACGGCCTTTTTGCTGTTGGCTTGTTTCTTTGGGTTCTCCGTTTTTACGTGCCTTATAATCCACTATAGATGTAGCCCCTCTCCTCTGTAGCGCTTCTAGTAAGCCATGAAGATAATAAATAAATAGATAAATAAATAAATAAATAAATAAATAATTAAATAAAATTGTGTCTCGTTATTGGGAGTAAAGAAGTGCTGTGTGTGCTAGGGCCGCGATTCACTGAGTTTATCGGCGCCAATGTGAGGAAGCTGTACTTAGCGGCTTGTCAGAGCTAACATTTCTCATAATAAACGTATTCGGGCTTATTTTCTCGCCGAGTAACTTGTAGAACTTTAAAGTCGCTTCTGGCGTTTCTTGAGCTTATTTGTATTTTACAGTCTAGTTCTTTAGCGATGATCATGTTGGTCAATATTAATTTTGTCCTTCACTAATAACGTGCTTAGCGATGACTTTGAGCAGTGATGAAGCCGGACATACGTCGGAGGAACACTGATGCAACACTGCCTGACTCTTTCCTGAAATTCAAGAATTATTTTGTTAAACAAAGCGTTTCATTGCACACAGACCGTTGCCGTTGTGGCATAAATTTTCAAAGTCTTAGCCCTCGTACACAGCAAACTATATTTATAGGCTCGTGAAAGCATGTATTATGATATCCGCGTAATCGTGAGAAGAAAATGACGGGTACGTACATCAGGAGCCACTACGTCTTCATATTGTGGATGCATATTTTTACAAATAATTTCCGATGTTATGTTTTGCCCGGGATAAAACTCATTCGGGTAGTTCGATTCATTACGTACCTCGATGCAAGACTCTGGTAATGTACTGCGTAATGAAGAGAAGATAATTATCTTCCTTAATAGTGAAACATAATGCGTTCAATAAGAGACTATATTACTTTTGAAATATGGATAAATACGTCATTACTCTCCTACGGTGTGCAAAAAAAAAAAACATGCTTTAGAGGCAGTCACCCCCTCCAAACGGCCACGTACACTTTCAAAAACAGATACTTCTCTTGTAATGAGTGAAATTTTAGCGTGTCTATATTATTTGGTTATGATTCTTCGTCATGTAGGAAGAGTACATGAGCGTTAAGAGCAACGGAGAAGTGCATTGACCAGACCAGAAAATGCAATAACACAAAATTAACAGTCTATTTTATTTCGGAGTTAGCCTACATAGACAGGCACTACCATTATCTTATTTTTATTTAGAAAAAACTGTGGTTACTGAAGACCACGCAGGTGAGATCAAGCAGTTTTTTTTTCAGAAGCCGGAAATACTTCACGATTAAGAGACGTGTCGAGGTGTGGCAATTCAGAATAATTTAAGACAGCTCTAAAATAGGTGTGTCTCAATTTTATCTACACTGGTATTCCGGTAGAACCGTGGTTTTGAGAACTAACCTGTGTCCTCGAGTTTAGCAACACAAGAATTTGCATAAATTAATGAAGCCATTTTTGCAAAACCAACAAGGCCACGGTGAAAATCGGCCTTACGTACCCGACAAGAAACTTGATTTGGGCCTTTGTGCAGTTTGAAAGCCCTTTTCTCCATTGTATTCTGGTCTCATCAAGTATCCATCTTTTGCCGAACAGTTTAGCGCATTTGGATAGCCATAAAAAGGAAGCGTCACATTTTCACCATCGTGACTTGCCCCGAGTCTGAAATTAGAGACCAAATCATTTCATGGCCATGGCCCAAAACGATTACATTAATTAGTTGGATGGCTTTGCGGCTCACTAGCCAGGTGTGGCCAGAAACGCTGTGTCAAAAAGTAAACTGTTATTGGTGACGGATAATTTAAGAGGATAGGATTAAAACCTAGCCGTCCTAAGCGCCCGTGAACGGGCCGCCAAGCTCGCATTGTCGGTCTCTACGTGGAATTAGCCGGGGGGCACGGTGTTTCCCCTGCGTCTTTTCAGGACCAATATAAAGCTTTAATCATCGTCATTATCATCATCAGAATCATAGTAGGATGCAATATGAATTTTGGATGTAACTATGGCTAATAGCACACGCTATATGCAAATATAAATAAATGCACACATACAGGGTATTTTAAGGAATGAGTCTGATTCTTTGAAAATCACAGAAAAGAGGCATCTGCGGGCTACTTGCGGCGTTGGCTTTCCTGTGGCAGAAGGCGTTTTCATATGCGTAAAAACAATAATTCCGGCAGTATTTATACAAATTACCAGAAATAACTTTTTGGTGATAGCCCGTCGAGTGGTGATAGCCAACCGAGTCGAATGAGCGAATTCAAGCCCCTCCTACGGTGATGCTGAGGATCGAAAGTTTACTTCTCCCAATAGCGGAGACCGGCCCAGAGGTCCTTTACGCTGGTTAGAGAAGGTCAGCAGGGATCCCTTGGGACACCGCGGCCTTCAATGCGCGTGAGATTACTCAGCGTTGCTGTGCCGAGTCGGTGGTAGGCAGTGGAAATGCGCATGCACATACTCTAACCCGAGATCTCACCTTCTGGGTGGAGTTCCTTACGCCTTACAATTCCCATTCATCGTCCTGCAAGGACTGCGAAGAACTAACTCCTTTGGTTACTTACACAGACATTTTACAGCACTACAGACTAGGCCACCTCCACCATCCTCCAGCTCATAAAGACCTCCCCCGACGTGATGCCCTCCTGTGGCGAAAGCTTCAGACGGGTGTCTTTCCCGACACCTGGCTTTATAGCAAGGTATACCCACACCTCGTGACACCACACTGTAGATACTGCTCACAGTCAGCCACCCTCATACACGTACAAGGCATGGACGTTTGCACAGTACGCTGACGTTCCACACACAGAAGATACGTGAAAGTTCCTTCGACGATTAGTTCATAACCACTGAGAAATTTAGGAAAAGCGGCCACTGGTATTCACCGCGGAGCGATGCAATACGCCTAATTTAGCTGGTGAAACCTAAACCAACGCACCAAATAGCGAGTATACCGTTCCCTTTGAAAACGCCCTCAGAGACAACACTGTTTGATTCGCCGTTATCGACCGTGAATTTAGACAATTTGCTTCGAGGCCGCTTATTGACGCTCGCTTATTCTTCTCCAGCAATGTGAGGGAAAGTAGTGTGGTTCTGTAATTTTTAAGAAATATTGGACACATTTCATGAAATACTATGTACATAGATAGACAGATATAGTAGGTTATATCATATCAATTGTGCCAGGCAAGCTTCTTACGATCTCCGATCTAGCTGAAAAAAATTGTGCAGGTATATGTGTTTAAGACAAGTGGTCATTGAGACGGTACGTCTCACTTCAGAATTTGTGCGGCATAAGGGCAATTCACAATTTGCGCAGTAAAGTGAAACTGTGTCGCGTAAAATAATTTTGATAGCATTACTTGTTTCAGCCATTACTATAAAACAATTTTTTTTATCTCACGGCGTTATTCTTTTATGACAACGACAGTTCATTAATGGCAGAAATGACATTACAGTATTTCAACGCTGAAAATATAGTCGCTTTCGTGCTACCATTACTATGATGATATAATTTTAAAGCCGCAAACAAACTTACGAATGTGCTATTTCATGAGCGACCGTAAGTGCTCCGCTGTAGGTATGTGGTGCATCTTCTGCAATCGAGGCGCTGCGATTGGTGCAGACTCCGCCGAAGAAAGTCAAACCTGCAAGAAAGTCGAGTTACATGTTACAAAAAAAATTACGCAGTTTTGCGACAGGAACGAATCAATCAATTCGATAGCAACACGTTGGAACATTATACGTCCTGAGGTCAGCAGCTGTCTACTTCGGCCTTCGACTGGATGTAACTCAATAAAACGCTTGCATAGGAAAAATTGGCAGCTGAAGCGAGGGAACAAACCAAGCATTTGTTACCGTGCATTTCTATTTGCAGGCGAAAGCTGTATATGGTTATAGGAAAAACGAAAAACCGTTCGGCATCGGTGTCACGAGTGGTATCCATTGTCTGTGCTATCAGCTACGCCATTCTCGCCGCCACACCCAAGCACGTGCCCCATTGGCTGCGCTGTGAGTGACGTCGTCTATCCCGTCGTAGCCGTAGCGCCGGGTACACTCGCATCAGTTTCTGCTAGAAACTTCTATATGAGAAGGCCACGAATAACTCTAGAAAAGCGCCAACATTAAAGCGTGGGAGTGCTCGCATTGGCCGGGCCGATAGTGCAGTCCGGTCGCAAAAACAGGTCCGCGAGATCGAGTGCCGGCAGCAACCGCATACCGATGATCCGGCAGCCTTTAACGCCGCGCTAAATCACCTAGGGGGATGCAAGTGATGGTGGCAGGCGAATCCTGTAGACAATGCCGCCCAGTTAGCTCGGGATGTGAAGGGCGTGCAACAATGCCGCATTGAAACAAGCGACGTTGCGGGCACACGAGCGTCAACGTCACGAATGCGAGAGCGCGTTAGCCGGGGCGAAAACGCGCTTCAGGCAGAGGCTTTTTCAACGGCACTTGAGCTTCGTCTGTGGTGCTTTTGACCACGTGTGGTTCGAGAACGACCACTGTGATTAAAGTATTGCGAAAGGAATTAAACTGCTAATTACAGTCCTCCATTACCATGATCATACGAGGCACAGTGTGCGGCATGTGAAAGAAACACTGCGGTAAACCCAAGCCCACCGTATGTCTAACATCATTAAGAAGAACATGTAACCAATAATAGTGAACCCACAGCCGAACGCCGGGGCCTCACGTTTGAACTTTCCCCATTTAACCCTTTCTACGGAGTGCTGGGGCGAATATTTTTTTTTCTTTTTTTGTGGTTTTACATCATGAAGTTTAAAGATGGCAGTGTACTGGTCATAAGGTTGCTGATATAATTTGGTCACAAATTTGAGATAATTTGTTGCTATAGGTGTTCATATCTGTAGTTGTTGTTGTTGTTGTTGTGTCGTGTTTTGTGGCGCAAAAGCGACTATGGCTATATTGCGCCAAAGGCAAGGTATTTATGTGTACAAGAGAAATATTAAAAACAGGGCTCAATATTTTGGTAATAAGGGTGAGAGTAGTTTCAGTACATTTATAGCTTTTAGGAATCCGATGAGATTCTTCAGTTTCATTTTATGGTTTCCGCCAATAAAAAAAAGCTGTATTGAATGGTGTTTGTTGATGCTATAGAGGTTGAAAAAAGTTACCGTTCCCGCTCTACTTTTACACAAGAGGTAAAAAGATGGTTTACTGTCAAGATTTCTCCACACCTCTGACAAGTCGGTTGTTGCTCCTTACGCAGAAGGTAGCTATGGGTCAGGTGTGTTTGCCTGATTCGTAGTCTGCACAGAACTACTTCTATGAAACGCTCCTGGTGTCTGCATGACTTCCATTCTCCAATAGATGGTTTGATAAGACGGAGTTTGTTTGTCAATTTTCATCCCACTTCAGTGGCCAGTGTCTGTTAAGTGATCGCCTAAATGCTGTATACACAGTCAGTAGAATGTATTTCTAGGCTTTTTATGGGCAATTTTGTTGCCATGTTTGCACTGTTGCCTGCCCTTACATTTACTTTTATACCAACATGACTTAGGATCCAGCAGAAGTTTATAGCTCTCCTGGTTTGGTTTGCCTCAGCGGCGAGTCTCAGTATGTCTCCTACAATAGGGAGCCGTTTGTTTTAAATGCGAGTGATTGGAGTGCGCTCAGAGAATCACCATATATAACTGTGTTGTGGCTGTTGTCTTCTATTGCTTTTTTTTACCGCTGTGTATATAGCAAAGAGTTCAGCCTTAAAAATCGAAGCGTGATTCGGTAAGTGTATGCTCTCTTCCCACTCCACTCCAATAACTCCACAGCCGAAATGTTCCTGTGTTTTAGATATGTTGGTGTAAAATTCAGTGAAGCCTTGGTAAGTTTCCTACGAGTATAGCTGCTGTATGAAGTGGTCCCTCGGCGTTTCACTCTTTTTAAGCTTTGCAAGCCTGAAGTCGCGAATGGCGTGAACACTTTTCCAAGGCGGAACAGCCTGTGGTTTTTTCCGGACGTGCAGATAGTTTTCTAGAATATTTAATTTTTAGCAAACCTCTTCGAATCTGAGGCAGAGCGGTTTTACAGAAGAAGGCTTATTAGTATAAAGGAGTCTTTCCCTGCATTGTGTAACAATTTTAAAACATGGATGTGAGGGTAATGAATGTATTTTTAGTGCGTATGTAGCTAAAAGTAAACACCGTCTGGCATCTAGGCATGATTCGTTAGCTTTTACATGTAGGCTTTCTACTGGGAATGTTCTGTATGCTCCCGTGGCTAGTCGTATAGCATTGTTATGAGTGGGGTCTAGTTTTCTGAGGTATGACGGTCCGGCTGATCCGCATACTGTACAACTGCAATCAAGGTTGCTGCGTACCAATGATCGATACAGATGAAGAATGCATGCTCTGTTGGAGCCCCACCTCTTTCTGAATAGCATCTTTAGAATGTTGAGAGATTTATTTGCTTATGTCTTCAGAGCGTTTATATGAGATATAAAGCTTAGTGATTTATCATATATAACACCAAGAAACCTGTGTTCTTTTTTTACGGGCAGATTCTGTTTGCTAAGCTGTAAAATTATGGTCAGGTTGGAGTCCTTTTTTGCGTGAAAGCAGCACGGTCGCCGTTTTGTCGTTTGAAAGCCTGAAGCAATTCTTATCTGCCCATTCAGATAGTTTATTTATAGTTTGTTGTATCTGTCTTTCGCAGGTGTGTATGTTGGAAGACCGACATGCAATTCGTAGGTGATCCACATATACGGAGTGCTCTACAGTACAGGGTATTTTTTTTGCAACAGAATTCATTTTCACGATAAAAAGGGTTGTGCTTAAAATACAGCCCTGTGGTATCCCATTCTCCTGAGTTAAACCACGTGAGAGGGTAGTGCCAAAGCGAACTTGAAAAGATTGATTTGCGAGAAAGTCTGATGAACAGTAGAGCACTCTGCCTATAATTGCCATATTGGCCAAGTCGCACACGATTCCAAACCTCCAGGTAGTATCATAAGCTTTTTCTAACTCGAAGAAAACTACTAGGCACTGTTGCTTATGTATGAATGCTTCTCGTATTGTCTGTTCTAAGTGGACAAGGTGGTCTAATGTTGATCTCGTTTGTCTAAAACCACACTGGTTAGTGTCTAGAAGTTTACGTTGTTCCAGGATGAACATGAGCCTGACATTTATTATGCTTTCGAATAATTTTGCCATGCAACTTGTTAAGGCAACAGGGCGGTAGCTATTGGGTAGAGTATGTGGTTTCCCTTTTTAAGAAAAGGTATGACAACAGCCTTTTTTTCATGCTAGAGGTGTTTTGCCCGTAACCCACACCTTGTTGAAGAACTTGAGTAACGCATACGTTGCGGTTTCAGATAGGTGTTGGATCATTGCATAATGGACGTTATAAGGTCGGGGGCAGCTCAATTTTGTGTTTTGAGTGCATTTTTCAATTCGTCGATGATGATTAGGCTGTTATATTCTTCTTTTTTATCACCTTTGGTAGAAAGTTTCTGCTTTTCTATTTTTGTTTTGTATGAAAGGAAAGCCGGATTGTAGTTTGCCAAACTTCATATATGTGAAAATGTTCTCCTGAAATGTTTGCTTTATTTTCGATTGTGGTTTGAACACCAGGAGGAGTGAGCAGAGGGATAGTATAGGGTGTATAAACCCCGTTCATTTTTCGGACACCCTCCCATACTTTCTTGCTTGGTGATGAGCTATTTATGGAAGATACGTATTTTTGCCAAGACACTTTTTCTGCTTGTTTGCGAATGTAGCGTGCCTGCGATCGAGCTCGTTTGAAGTTTACTAAGTTTGCGTACGTTGGGTATCTCCTGAAAGCACCCCAGGCTATGTTTTCTTTCTTCGCAGCACGGCACTCTTCGGTCCACCATGGTTTCCTTTGTTTTTGTGCTAGTGCCGATGTCTGTGGTATTGATATAAATGCCGCTGCTAGGATATAGATTGTGAACTTTTCATTTAATTCGTCTACGCTCAGACGCTAATCGTTTTCTTCTTCTAGAGAAGCATAACTAGTGTAGAGGGTCCAGTTTGCTAACTGTAGCTTCCACCTTTGCGGTTTGGTGGGTAGTGGGCTTGGCTGGGTCAGATGTATAAGGCATGGCAGGTGGTCATTCCCATATGGATTATCACGAACTTCCCAGCTTAAATAGACGTAGAGATCCGATGAGCAGAGAGCTAAATCAAGACAACTCATCATTCCTGTGCTTGGTGTGCAGTATGTTCAAACATTTGTGTTAAGGATGCTAATTTCATTAGTCAGAATGAAGTCTTCTATGATTTGCCCCCTGGTGTCTGTTGTCATGCTGCCCCACATCGAGCTGTGTGCATTAAAGTCGCCGACCAAGATAAAAGGTTTTGGAAGTTGTTCAATGAGTTCTTCCAGGTCTCTAACCGTTACCTGCATATGCGGAAGAAGGTATATAGAACAAATGGTTACTGTTTTGAATGATAGTACACTAACCGCACCTGCTTCAAAACGGTTTGTAACCGGATGTCTTGTGATGTAGTATTGCATTTGATGATGATTGTAACGCCGCCAGATAGGCGACTTATGGTGTCGCTTTGTACTGTCTAAGAAAGTTTGTATTTTTAAGACCCAGATTTGTTTCCTGAACGCATAAAGCTAAAAGAGAGAAGCTATTTAAAATGTCTTTTATATCAC